GTGTGTATATATATATATATATATATATATATATATATATATGAAAATAATAAGGTTAGAGATATATGGAATCAGCATGTTGCTGATTCAAAATAATAAATTGTTGGCTTACTTTGCACTAGATTTTATACCAATGATAATCTTATTCTCCTCTACCTCCAACAAGCAAAGTGGCACATGCTATTAAGTTTGTTGTCCTTTTGTACAGTGAAGATGCTCCTGAATTGTCTGTTGTTCACATGTTTGATAGCTTAAAAGTAGTTTTGTATATTATGTTCACTACCACATGATTGACAACTTCGATATAATTGTGTTTAAACTTAATCCTAAGAACTGATCATATTTAACTTATGGTAACCTTTTCTTACTAGTAATTTCACTATTCACTGTTATATTTATTATTTTTGTAAGTGCCATCTGAGCACTGTCATCATAATAATGTGCCAGTAGAGAATGAGATTTTTGGGAGTCAAAAAACAAAAACACAACAAACATATATATATGTATGTATGTACATCACACACACACACACACACACACACACACACACATGTATATACATATATTACTAAGTTTTTTGTTTTGTTTTTTCTCTCTCTCTCTCTCTTGAAAACATTAGCGTTCACAACAAACACAAAAAATTATCATAAACAAACTTTCTGTCTAGGGGCTTTTTTACATCAAGAAAATGTTGCATAACTGAAACCTAAATGGTAGTAGACTAGCCTAGATTGTAGATAGATATAGATTTGGATATAAGCAATCATGATCATGAATATCAAATTTGTTGTCAAAACAACCTTGTCCAACCAGAATTCAAATCTGTGCCGGGCAAATACAGAAAGTTATAAGCCAGTGGCATATTAGAATAGCCTTACTTGGCCATTAACATTTATTAGTCATATGTGGGCCTAAATAAATTGAAATGGCATTTATACCTTTGTCATTAGTATGAGTAATTAGCAATTTATAAATGTTGCTCTCCAGTCTAATATATATATATATATGTATAATTATTTGCTTAGAGAATATCAAAACTTTGACTTAACTCGTATTAGTAGCAATAAAACAAAGTAAATGTCTTAATACCAACCACAAAGCCTTATTACAAGATTTAACAATACTGATCAATTCTTGAAAGCTGGTTGACAAAGCTATATAATATTTTATGTTTAATAACATTGCTACAACTGAAACAGTTTCCTGTTAGTGTATAGTTTTATGAATTTAAGCAATTCAAGAACAAGATTTAGGCCTATACCTGAAATATATCATAACATATCTACATGTGGCCTCGTAGTAGAAATTAGCCAAGATATCTACAAGTTAACAGACAGTGTAGGCAGAAGAAAACCTATACTTGCAGTGGTTTCAGACCATTTAATCAGAAGTTCGTGGCATAAAAATTTGAATTCTTGATTTATCAGAATACAAACCACTTTATATTGATCAGAAACATCTGTATTATTTTATGGAGTATGAGACAATCACTGTGATATTTTCCATACTAATTGGATCCTTTTAAATTTTTATGTCCCTAACATGATTTGTAGGAGCATTTAGCATCAGATATACATCAGTTTTGCATCCTGGCCGGTCATTTAGCTCAGTTTGTACGGCATTCGCTTGGCTTGCAATAGGTCTTGAATTCAACCCCCCCTTGAGAATGAGATGACAATTGAATTACTGCATGTCATTTCACAGAAAGGTAAATGTTATCCATTTGTTTTAAGCTCAGTCCCATTCACCATCCATTACTTTTCTTACTTGTGTTAAGATAAAGGGGAGAAATAATAAGTACATTCTGAACACCAATAGTTCATTGACAGTAATCAATTGTGATGGATTTCTAAATGTAAAGCAGATATTTTGTTGTTCGAACTATAAACTTTATCTATCTATATTCACATGTTCATGCGTATATTCTTTATTGGTAATTGGCAGTTAAATTAAATACAAGCACAAAAAATGTCAAAATTTAAAATTCCTGTAGGTTTTTATTTTAAAGTTTAGACTGTCTCCAATTCTTATTTTACAAACAAATTCCAAATGAAATTATTTCAAACTTATATTTTTTGTATTTTCTGAATGATATATTGAATTTTTTCTTGTATACCTCTCAGAAACATATCATGGAATAATGATTATAAGCTACATACAAACAAGGAAACAGATTGTAATAATAGGAAAGTAAGAAATAAACTGTTTATTTTCAATATAAACATTTCCAATTAAAATGTTTATATTGAACATGATAGTGTAGTTTTCAAAAGTTTACTGTGATTGTATTTTTGAAGTATATTCTGTTAAAGAATGCTGTTCAGTAGTTTACACTATAAATATTTTTGTAGCTTATCCTTGCATTTTTTACTCTCAGGAAATTTTTTCTTACATAAATTTCATTTTCAGATGCATTTGCCGATATATAAAAATTGCTCTGACAAGTTCCTTGTAATTAATCAACTCAAATGAATAGAATTTTTTCATTGTTTCTATTATTTTTTGTTGAGCTCTGCAGAAGGATAAATCTGTAGATGTTTATTCATTAATGGCTAAAATAATATTTTTTTCTTCAGTTTTGGATGAATGAAGATATTGAAACTGGTAATAAAGACTTCACTGGTGACTTTGCCAGTTCCACTGCAAACCAGTTACCTCTTTTTCCACCTTTTCAGCATTTTGAAAATTGTTATCAAGGATCTTGTCACCCTAGTGTTTTAGAAAACTTTGTTGATGGGTCAAAGAAATTTGTAAGTTTTGTGCTTTTATGGAGTATTAAATTAACTTGAATCTTATGTAAAAAAAAAATGGATGGGAAAGAACAAATATAATGTTTTTAGGTTATTGCTTTCAAGTAGGTCATGTACTGTAAAATTCATTTGTGCATTCCCTCATAAATATATTTTTTATCTGTGCTTGTGAAAAGAAATAAGCTAGTTTACTTCCAACTGTATTTTAAATTTGCTGTTCACTTTTACCACACACAGAGTTGAAAACAATAGATTTTATAATTGCAATTATATACATAGATTTGCACGGGTTATATAATATCGAAATATATCCTTTTTTTTATCCCCACTGATTCATCAGATGGAAAATGAAGATTTATAACAAATATTAGAAACATGGTAATACCAAAAAATACCTTTAATTATGGAAATTTCTGAATTGTTTCAAATTTCATCACTGTTAAAACTGCAAAAAATTGATTCACAATATTCTAACTACAAAAAGCACCATCAACTATTTATCAAGAAGTTTTTGATACAACCATAAGCTCAGAAAGAACACAGATTTAAATTAAAACAATAAAACAGAATATACAATAAAAACATGCAGCAAATATGTTTAATAGTGTTATTAAGAGAAAACGTAATAAAAAGGCTAAAATACAAGTATAAACCTTTGCAATTTTAAAATTTAGAACATAAAGATAATGTACTAAAAACCACAAAAAATGTGGAAATTATTAGATTAATTACAACAAGGACAAGCTGATAACTTATTATTTAGTGTTGGGTGATTGCTGAAAATGGAAAGAGTTTCTTTAATAAAGAGTTCATGATCTGTTTTCCATTGTCAAGAATTTTAAAGTATTCAAGAAGGATGGGGTGATTGTTATTCTCACTATATAATTGAATACAAGACTCAAGTGGATTAGTTAGGTTTATCCACTTCTAGCCTAAATTCCCATTTGCTTATGCACACACATTTTGTAGGAGATGTGTAGTTTTACCAATATAAGTAGCTTTACACAGCTACAACAAATGTATTTATAAATGACCCACAAGCACATGTGATGGGTAGAATGTCTTTGGTTTAAACAAGTCTTGAATTCTAAATGTTGACTTAAATATCAAACATAGTTTAATTTGCAGGTAATAATGTCTTGATTATTTTTTGAATTGCAGATCTGTGTTTAGAACTTTGCTTGCACATGATAAGAACTATTACACGACAGTGCGTGGCTTCTTGTAGACTATATTATTTGTTTAAATGTTTGTACAATAGAGTGAAAGAAATATGTAATATGTTATGAATTTTGGAAGACAAGATTTTTCAGAACAGATATTACGTGTTCTGTTTAGGAGATCTAAAACAATGTTACATTTGAAGAAATCATGGTATGAAAGTATTGAAACATATGTATAAGCCTGTAAATGTTTTCTAACAGTAAACAGATGTGGCAAAGAGAGTGTTTATTTTTGTTTACTTGGATGTCTAAAACAAGGTGAGTTACTGTTTTCTTGCATTTCACACGTAAAGTGTATGCATGGATGTTGTGAGTTTAAGTATTCTGAAAACTCTAGCATGATCAGTGTTGTCAAGAGATAAAAAAGGAAAATTTGTTTAACATATCTTCTATATAATACTAGTGTATAATAGAAGGGACATTCATCTAGCTACTGACAGAGAAAAGTATTCACAAGTCAGATGGGTGATCCCATTGCCACCCCATCTATCAGGTCATGAAAATTACCATTAAAAATGAAGCAATTGTCCTTAAGGACCAATTTAAGAAGCTGTTCAATTTTTTGTTGGTTAGAGTGGTAGGCATCTTTGTTAAGAATAACTGTTTAGTAATTACTTGGATAGTTTCTTTAAGTAGGATTTTAGTGAATAATGACTGAATATCAAAGCTTTACATAATGAATTGGTTCGTTAGGTAACTTAGATATCTCTTGAGCAAAGGAAAAATGAGTCTACAACAGGAAATGCATTCTCAGTTTAGTGCGGGTATAAGATATTTAGTGAGTTCATAGGCATGTGAAATGAAAGTAGATAGAATAGGTCTTAGATGTAATATTTGTACATTTTTAGTGATCCATACATGAGGAAATTATCCAAGTAATCATTAAACAGCTATTTCTAACCAAAGAGGCTCAGTATTGTAACCAACGAAGCATCAAATAGCCTATTAAATTGGCCCTCAAAGACAGTTGCTTGGTTTTATTGGTAATATTCATGACCAGATAGATGGGGTGGCAATGTGATCATGCTTAGGTTTGACTCTTGCAAATATTTTCCTCTTGTTATTATGGATGTCAGTGGCTGAATAAATGCCCTCTCTTATCACAAACTAATATTATATATAAGATATGTTGATGATACGTTTCTAGTTTTTCAAAACACAGATCATGCCAAGAAGTTTCTAGATTACCTAAACTCACAACAACCATGTTTAAAGTTTACATGTGAAATGCAAGAAATAAATAACTTGGATTTTTTTAGATGTCTAAATAAACAAAATAAACAATCTCTTTGCCACATTTGTTTACTGTAAGAAAACACATACAGGCTATACACTCGTTTCAACAGCTTTGTACTAGTTACTTCAAATGTAACTTTATTCTAAATCTCATAAAGAGCATGTAATATCAATTTTGGCTGTTTCTGTCTCCACTATGAAATTTTCAAGATTCATAATATATTACAAAGTAGTGACTGTCTTTTTAATTTCATACCCTAGCACACAAAAACTTTTAACAAACAAAGTAGAACCTATCAAGAAACCACACACTGTCTCAAAATATCTGCTAGTTTTCTCACTCCTTTTATGGGCAAACAAAATTTTAAACTGAAATCCAGAATAAAAATAATCAGAATATATTACCTGCAAATTTAGCTTTGTTCAATATTCAGGTCAAGATTTAGAATTCAAAACTTCTTTAAAACCAAAAACACACTATCCATCCATTTGTGCTCATAGATCATTTGTAAGTACAGTTATGGTAGCTGTAAAGCTACTTGTGTTGGTAAAACTACACATCATCTATGGGAATTTCAGCTAGAAGTAGATGTAAGCTACCTGATACACCTGAGTCTTGTATCTGATTGCATAGTGAGAATAACAACTACCCCATCCTTCTTGAAAACTTTAAAATTCTCAACTCTGTAAAAACAGATTATTATTATTAAAGAAATCCTGTCTTTATAATGTTTTCTCTTAACAATATTACTCAACATATCTGCTACTTATTTTATCAAACATTCCATTATTTTATTACCATTTAAATCTGTGTTCTTTTTAAACTTTTGATCATACCAAAAAACTTCTCCATTAATAATTGATACTGTTTTTCTAGTTAGAATATTGTGAACTTAATTTTTAAAAATTTAATTATGGAAACAATTCTAAAACATCCATAATTAAAAATGTTTTTTGGTATTACTGTGTTTTTAATATATATTATGTTTTATTTAATAACATAAATTATACACAGTGTTAATTCAACAGTTTGATCAGCCTTAGTTAAAATATTCGTACTATGTCTAACAACTTAACTTTGTGCTTTTTCTGTACATGATATTGTATAGTAAATTTAACTTTTTTTAACACTCATGCAATGAAAGTTAGTAATGTAGACCCTCCCTGATGAATTACAAAGTGCATTTTATGGAAAATGTGTTCTACCTTTAAATATTTTCAGCTTTTGAAGCATGTATTCTTTATTTACAGGATTTGATGTAAAATTGATTATCTTGATTCATGTATCTGAAAATACAAAATTGTTTAATACATGTAATCTTAAAACTTTATGCTCAAGTCTAAATTTTGTATTTTTAATAGTACATATCATTCATTTTCTTTTGCTGTATTCAAATTATTATTATTTAGTAGTTTATGTAGTTTATGATGTTAATTTTTACCACAAATGAATACTGGAAATGCAGTGTGAATTTTGTGAGTTTTTAAAATACATAAAATGAAATTAAAGGACATTTCGAGCTAAAAATTCAAAAACATTTTAAGTACATAAAACTTGAAAATATATGTGTGCTACAATCTTACTAATGTGAATAAAAAATATTAAACTCAGCACTCAGGGGCTTTGGATGCATTGTTTGAGTGACTATCAAATCCTAGTATTCATTTAGAGTAGCCTAAGAGTTGATGATAGATGCTGTTCTCTAGCTGCATTCTATTTAGTCTATCAGTTCAGTACCCCCATTGGGTGAGTGGTAAGTTTACAGACTTACAATTCTGAAATTATTGTTTTAATTTCTCCTGGTGGATAGAGCTCTAATAATCTATTGTGTAGCTTTGCACTATTACAAACTTGCTATTGTTTCAAAATTTGGGATGGCAAATGCATATAGCCCATGTGTAGTAGTGTAGTAATCAATCTAGTCTCCATTAGGATTTCTTTAAATTGAATTTGTATTTGAAAAAGGATATATAAGGTCAGTAATTATCTTTAGAAAATGCAAGTTAAAGCACTGTGACCAGAATATGTAATATTTCTTTCAACAGTAAACAAGTTTTGTTTTCTAAAGCCATTAAACTAATTGACTTTCCATGATCACCTTTTTGCTGGTAATAAGTGATGTGGTGACTTGATTTTGTAAGAGCATATATTATCTTATGAACTCTGAAATAAATAATAAAAAAATATTGATAACATTTTGTAAACAAGCTGAAGCAGTGTAAAGTCATTGTATCTATGGTAAGCTATGGTTGATAGAACTGTAAAAAAAAATACTACACCATGATACGGATCATAAGGAATGGCAGTGAAGTTATTTCCATTTTACATAACTTATATATATATATATATATATGAATTAAGAAATTCATTTTCTGTTATTTTGTTTCACTACCTTAAACTCACTGTGTGCAACTGTGACTAATTATTTAAGTTTACAAATCAATTAAAGATATCTGTTATGTATATTGCTATTTTTACATAAATATTCATTTTGAAGTATTTAAATGCAGTTAATGTTTTTGTCATTTCAGTATTTTGCCAGAGAACAACAAATAAATTCAGATGAACACAAGTTATCTGGCCAACAGTCCTCAAAATTGAATTGCAGTTTTCGCTCAGTGGGGTATCCTAGAGCTATACGAGCTGGATCTGATTGTTCAAAGAATCCAAATTTACATGCTGATAGTACTTTCAGCAATGTTGTGCAGAATCAAGGTGATTTTATCCCTGTAGACACTGGTAATCCTGGGCAAGAATCATTTATGCCTCTTTTAAGTGCTAGTCATCTTCAGAGAAGTGATAGGATTTCATATGCCTCACCAGCTATCACTGGACATGTAATTCCGCAACAAAATCAGACTAACTCAAACCAGCAACTGCCTCATCCATATCATAACTTTCCAAGAAACATTAACCAGCGACATCAAGCATTTCGTAAAAATTCAAATATACAACGGAATCTAGACAGCAATTTTACATTGGAACTTGGGTCTCAAATGTCACAATCCAGAGGAAATACTGCAACTTCGTTTGGCTTTAATACAAAAAAAAGTCTTCCTACATCATCACATGCAGAAATCCAGTCTCTGCCTAATGGCTGTTATACTGCCCTAAAAGGTGATTGTTTACCAACTGTATCATCAACCATGAGCTATGATGGTCTCAAAAATGGTTTGGGAAACCAAAGTGGAGTTTTATCAGGATTGGATAAAATATCAGTTAATGGTATTAATTGTCCTTCTCAGATCAGTTTACTTACAACTCTTGGTTCACCACCCATTTCAATTCAAACATCTGAATTTGTTGATCATCCTTCTCAGCACCCAGTGAGAGGAGTTTTGCATCCCCAGTTTTTGTCTGAATATCTTTCCCCAGATCTTTTTGGATTTTCATCTGGCTCTAATCCACATAACCAGGCATTGAAATATTCTGGACCATTTCCTTCTCCTTCTATTGTTGATTCAACTAATGAAGTTTACCAACCATTTGATGCATGTTTCCAAGGAAAAGGAATTCAGCCATTTTATGGAACTGGTGAAGTATTTTTTGACCAAATACCACCAACAGCAATTTTACCAGTTGGAGCACACTTCTTTGGAGCACGAACACTAAGGTAATAATTTTTGATTTTTTTTTCCTTTTGTCATTTCTTGAAATTATATCTTGTAATGATGAACTTTAGGAAATAAGGTTAACCCTGTTGCCATTGGTAGCCTTTACTGAGCATGACACAAGGTTTTAGTGTCTTACATTCAATATTTTATTAAACTACTTTTTGTTTATGCTATACCAATTAGTATAGCATAAAATCTTAGCTGGTAATCCATATTTTAATAGTATATAAGTTTTAAGTTATTAATTCTACAAGGCAATATAAAAAAAAATATCCTGAATTTCCCCTAGTGTGACACGTGATACATTTTCTCTAGGCACCTTCTTTTCTCTATTTTATCCACCACCCCTCAAAAAGTATGAAATTAAATGTAAATTATTCATTATAAAATTGTCATCACTCAGACAAACCATAATTGTTATAGCCTTCAATTTTATTTGGTTACAGAGTTATCAAATAGAAAATCAGACCCCTCCTGTCACATCCTCTCTTTCAGGATTTGTTAATAGTTCTCTCTTATGTTTAATTATATATTACCTATAACCAATAGAAAGCCATTGTGTTCTGAACAGATAATTGTCAATTTCACTCAGAGTTCCTGTGGGAAAGCTAACAACTAGCTTGGATGAATTTGTAACGGCTCTTTTTGCGTAGTTAAAAAGCCAGAAAAAGTTTTAGGTAAGGGGAAATTGTCTACTTTTTGCATATTATTAGTCAATGTGCTTTGCTGCATTTTTTAATTAAATAAGAGTTATTTAGTGCATTACTACCATTAGTATAAAAAAGTAGGGTTAAGTGTCATTGACAGTTGACAACAAGAAAAAAGTAGATTGGGTAAGTACTTTATTTCTTGTTTTTCATGTTTATTCTTTATTAGTATAAAAGTAATTAAAATGTAAAAATAGGGATATTTTTAGGTTAAGATTAAATTAGGTAAAATAAATAATAATACTCTAATAAAAATGTTTCATGAGGCATGCACGGCAGCAGCTCGGAGTAGCTTGTAGGTAATGTAATTCAATAGCATAACATGAGCTGCACGTTCCCCAAGTAATTTACAACTTATAATAGTGCATATAGTAGTTAGACATGGTTCAAAGGGCAATAAGACAACAAAATTTAATTATAAATAGATGTATATTGTTATGAGTTTAAAGGTATTTTGGAAAGATAAATGTAGCATCACACTACATTTGAAGTCATTCCAGAAAGAAAAAGAGGATAATTTAGATTTATTTAGTTGTTTGTTTTTTTTTTGGGGGGGGGTTACACTGTCGTCGTACGACGAGGCGTATGTACG